GAGCGGGTTGGGGCTGGTGCAGTCCACGCCGGGGCCGCTCCTGGCGCAGACCTCCTCGAAGGAGAACCCCGCGCTACCCCGCATCGCCCGCACCGCCGCGTCCAGCGCCAGCAGCTCCGCGAAGGCTTCCGGCGTGAGGATGGAGTCCTTTCCCGGGGCGGCCACGGCGATGAGAGCGGCATAAGAGCCTTCGGTGCTGAGCCTCTGGGCGGAGAAGCGCCGGCTGTCGTCGGTGGGGAAGTACGTCTGGACCAGGCGGCGCTCGCTCTTGGCGGGCCCCTTGACCGGCGTGAACTGCTCCTCGATGTCATTGGCTTCGCGGGCCTTGAGGTGCATGAAGCCGGCGCCCAGCCCCGCCGAGAGGGCCAAGGGCAGCAGGAGGAAGGGCCACGGGTGGGAGCCCACGCAGGCGCCCAGGGCCCGCAAGGCGCGCGCGAGAGGCCGCTCCACGCAGTCCGTGTGGCACCTCCGGCCCGGCATCGCTCCTCTCTGGCGCGGAGAAGAAAGCGCCGTTACTTTCGGTTCTCGGCTCTGTTTGAGGAATGCCGCGGGAGGATGCGGCTCTATTTTGGGCTCCCAATTGCCGCGCCTCCCTCCCTATCTCCCTCCGGGGCGTGGCTGCCATTTCCGAGCAACCGCCTGGTCGAGCCAGGCTCGGAAAGAGGAGGCGTTGCCATAAGTGCAAGGCGGAGGCGGGTCTTGGTTGAGAGACAGCCAGCGCCCATCCTTTCCCCAGAAAAAGAGCCAGGGGAAATTCCCGCCAGACAAAAGGCCCTTCAGTTATATACGTTTCTCTTCTGCGAACTGCATTTTCTTTTCGTGGGGGGAAATTCTAGGAAATCCAAACTGGACTAGAAGAGACACTGCCTGTTGCACTTGAGCTCTGAACAGGCCTGTAGCGAGGGGGTGGTTTTAGGGGTTCAACCCCCCCCCTAAATGTTTCAGATTTTTTTTAAAAAAAACCTGGTTTACTCATGAATTTTAACTGGTTAACCAAATCCCCATGCGAAGTCTGTTGTTGTTCATTCGTTCAGTCGTCTCCGACTCTTCGTGACCTCATGGACCAGCCTACGCCAGAGCTCCCTGTCGGCCGTCACCACCCCCAGCTCCCTCAAGGTCAGTCCAGTCACTTCAAGGATGCCATCCATCCATCTTGCCCTTGGTCGGCCCTTCTTCCTTTTACCTTCCACTTTCCCCAGCATAATTGTCTTCTCTAGGCTTTCCTGTCTCCTCATGATGTGGCCAAAGTACTTCAACTTTGTCTCTAGTATCTTTCCCTCCAATGAGCAGTCGGGCTTTATTTCCTGGAGGATGGCCTGGTTGGATCTTCTCGCAGTCCAAGGCACTCTCAGCACTTTCCTCCAACACCACAGTTCAAAAGCATCGATCTTCCTTCGCTCAGCCTTCCCTAAAGTCCAGCTCTCACATCCGTAGGTGACTACAGGGAATACCATGGCTTTGACTAGGCGGATCTTTGTTGCCAGTCTGATGTCTCTACTCTTTACTATTTTATCGAGCTTGGACATTGCTCTCCTCCCAAGAAGTAAGCGTCTTCTGATTTCCTGGCCACAGTCTGCATCTGCAGTAATCTTTGCACCTAGAAATACAAAGTCTGTCACGGCCTCCACATTTTCTCCCTCTATTTTCCAGTTGTTAATCATTCTTGTTGCCATAATCTATGAGATGCAAAAACTTAAGAGTCCCTCCAGAACTGCAAGCACTATCTCAAGCAAATATTGACAATTTATTCACACTGTCATTACTTGCAGCAATAGCCGATGTAGTGAAGCAACCAAGTTGGGTGTGTGTGTGTGTTGAATGCTCTCATTAAGGAGGCCAGACTTGGTGGAGGTGGTTGACAGGGGCGGAGCTGCAGGCTATTGAAGGCTGCTCTGCCCCCTGCTGTGCTCTTTGCTTCAGCGTGAGCTAGGAGGCAGGTTTCAACCCCCCCCCCGTGAAATTTTCACACCCCCCCCCGAAAATTTCAACCCCTCTCGAAATTTTTTTCTGGCTACAGCCCTGGTTCTGAAACATATTTTCACCACAGACCAGATAATCCAGTAAGTCAAAGTTTATTTACACCAGTTGTGCCCGTACCTTAAGAAGTCAGACTTGGCCACAGTGGTCCATGCTCTTGTCACATCCCTGTATAGATTACTGCAATGCACTCGACGTGGGGCTGCCTTTGAAGACTGTTCGGAAGCTTCAATTGGTTCAAGGGATGGCAGACAGGTTGCTCACCAGAGCAACTTGCAAGGAGCACACAACCTCACATTACAACAACTCCACTGGTTGGCAGTTCAGAGTGCTGGCTTTAGTTTATAAAGACCTAAAGGGTTCCGGCCCTGCATACCTGCTTGAGCGTATCTCTATGAGCCACCTCAGAGACTAAGATCTTCTGCAAAACTAACAAAAAGAAGTTCCAACAGACGTCACAATCTCTGAGGATGCCTGCCATAGATGCAGGTGAAACATCTGGAGAGAATGCCTCTAGAACATGGCCATATAGCCCGAAAAAAACCCTACAACAACCCAGTGATTCCGGCCATGAAAGCCTTTGTCAATAAATTTAACAAAATTAAGTTCAAGTGACAAATGCAATATACTCCACTTAGGCAGAAAAAATGAAATGCAAAGATACAGAATGGGGGACGCCTGGCTCGAGAGCAGTACGTGTGACAAAGATCTTGGAGTCCTTGTGGACAAGAAGTTAAACATGAGCCAACAATGTCATGCGGCGGCAAAAAAAGCCAACAGGATTTTGGTCTGCATCAATAGGAGTCTAGTGTCTAGATCCAGGGAAGTCATGCTACCCCGCTATTCTGCCTTGGATAGACCACATCTGGAATATTGTGTCCAATTCTGGGCACCACAACCTGGCAAAACGGCACTACCTAGAAGAATCCACCTTGTGCGACTGTGGAGCAGAACAAACAACTCTGCACGTGTGTGCTTGTCCACAATGTCCTGCCTCATGTACAGAGGAAGAATTGTTTAAAAGCTGTTGCCGGTTTTGGTCAAAAATTATTTAGCTGCTTGTGCTCCTTCTATTTTAATCAGTTTTATACTTATGTTTGCAATGCTTTTCATATGAAATAAATAACAAGCTCTTTAGCTTTCTCTGCTAAATAGTGTGAGTGTAACTATAAACTACAAATCCCATAATTCCATAGCATTGAGTGGTTAAAGAGGTTTCAAGCTGCATTAATTCTATTGTGTAGAGCCAGTCTAGGTGACAAACCCGATAGTGGCAGGTGAAACACTGTCTCTAGTCTCAAACAGCTGTGCTTTCTCTAGTTGGGCCAGTTGTGGTCACAGTAGTTGAGCAATTTCATGAAAACAGGAACTGAGCATAGCAAAAGGAGTGGTTGAAATGACTTCTGTGCAGAGGCTGGTTTTTCTTTTGTTGTTTCTGGTTCTCCCTCTCTCCCCTCCCTACTCTCACATAATGCTCTTTTTTTAAAGGGAAGCTTCAGGAAAACCCAAATGACACACCACAGACCCTACATGCTAAAACCTGGGTTTAAAGCGATTAGTATTGTCATTATTTTTATCCAAAAGAGGGGCCATCTTTGCTGGGAAATTCCATTTCCTTCCTGGAAGCTGGGTTTAGAAACAAAGGCCGCCCCAGATGTTTGTAAGTAATAGCAAAATTGGAATGCTACAATTTGGCACATGTTTGAGAAACTGGAAGGCCTTTCCAACACAACGAGACTTGCAGATCCACACCCCACAATTATAGTACTCTGATGCCAGCTGAATTTCCCTAACCCCACAATCTAAAGCAGCATTTCTCAACCTGGGGGTCAGGACCCCCTGAGGGGTCATGAGGGGTGTCAGAAGGGTTGCCAAAGACCATAAGAAAACACAGTTTTTTCTGTTGGTCATGGGGTTCTATGTGAGAAGTTTGGCCCAATTATATCATTGGTGGGGTTCAGAATGCTCTTGATTGTAGGTGAACTATAAATCCCAGCAACTCCAACTCCAAAATGTCAAGTGTTCACCAGTGTTCACATCCACCAGTGTTCACATTTGAGCATATTGAGTATTCGTGCCAAGTTTGGTCCAGATCCATCATTGTTTGAGTCCACAGTACTCTCTGGATGTAGGTGAACTACTACTCCAAAACTCAAGGTCGGTGCTCACCAAACCCTTCCAGTATTTTCTGTTGTTCATGGGAATTCTGTATGCCAAGTTTGGTTCAATTCCATTGGTGGAGTTCAAAATGCACCTTGATTGTAGGTTGCACCTGATTGCCAGCTGAATTTCCCTAACCCCACAATCTAAAGCAGCATTTCTCAACCTGGGGGTCAGGACCCCCTGAGGGGTCATGAGGGGTGTCAGAAGGGTTGCCAAAGACCATAAGAAAACACAGTTTTTTCTGTTGGTCATGGGGTTCTATGTGAAGTTTGGCCCAATTATATCATTGGTGGAGTTCAAAATGCACCTTGATTGTAGGTTAACTATAAATCCCATCAACTACAACTCCCAAATGACAAAATCAATCCCCTCCCCAACCCCACCAGTATTCAAATGTGGGCATGTTGGGTATTTGTGCCCAATTTGGTCCAGTGAATGAAAATACATCAGTTATTTACATCACGATTCATAACAGTGGCAAAATTACAGTTATGAAGTAGCAACACAAATAATTTTATTGTTGGAGATCACCTGACACGAACCCCGCCACATGACCTTGGAGATGTCTACGGACAATGCACCACCCCCCAGAATCGGACACATCTAGACTTAATGTCATGGGAAGCCTTTACCTTAACTAAGTGGTTTGATTAATTTTTTAAAAATTACTCCATCCACATATTATAGACCACACTGCAACCAGGTTGTCTTTAAATTGTTTTATATTTATTATGAATTTTTAAATTGTTTTGGAAATTACCTTGGGCTTTGCTTTGGGAAAAAGGCATACAAAATGCAATGCATAAAGCAAACAGACAAATAAACAATAAATAAATAAATAAATACATACATACATAAGAATTCTGATTTCTCAAACACACACCTACTTTGCTCAAGTTGGCATCACCAGCTGGCACAACTACGACCAAACTGCATTTCTTTTCTGTGTCACATCCTCTTTCCACAAATGCATTTGCTGGCTGTGATGATTTCCAGCCGTGAATATAATTTGTGGTGTTTGTGGTTTATTTTTCCACACTGACAGGAGGCAACTGCATAATGTTTGCATCTACAACATGAGGTCTTTCAACATTTTATGACTTGGTGGTGATTCTAACTTTCGTAGCTCTCATTTACAAACCAGCACAAAAACCAAAAAAGGTTAAAAACACAGGAATAAAAATGAGACCATGAATTGCCCCAAATATGATAACCAGAGACATTATCTTAAAAAATGTTCTGAAGATGTATGTGCGTGACAGAGAGAGAACAAGCACTCCCACAAGGGTGGAAGCAGCTCCCTGCACAATTGGATAACCAAGCAGGTATACAGCGTCTACTGCCTTATCATTTACGTTGGGTTTCTCACTGGCAACAAAGGCGTAAGAAATATGAGCAGAAAAATCGACCGAAAACCCAATGCAAATAACAAGGTTGATCATAGATATGGAGTCAAGATTGACATTCCAAATGGCCATGAAGCCAGTCACACCAACAATAACAGAAGCAATAGCAAAAGTTACCCACAAAGAGCAGAGCGGATTGGGAATGAGTAGCAAGGAAACTATTAACATGACACCGGTAGCAATCAGAATATTTTGAATGGTGTTTGGAACTATTACAAGGTACTGATCAAAGTAAATAAAAGCTGGATGGTAAACCATCAGTGCGATCTTGCAGTTTGCAGCAAGGCCTCTCAATTCATTTAAGAGATGTTTCTCATGAACTGCATCGGTAATATTGACTGTCTGTATGAAGAACCGCGAAGCAAATATTTCTGTAGTACTCGAATTAATGTCCCACTCAGAGTCTGGACTTACTGTAAACAGGTCAGATAGACTACCAATGAATATGGTATGGTCATTTATATTTATGGACATGCGTTTAGAAACAGATTCATAAGTTCTCAGCCACGACTCTGATAAAGTTTTGTCTATGTCAGATGAGCTTTCTAAAGTTTCCATGCACTTCTCGATATCTGTGCGTACGGATGGATTCCAATATTCTACACTTTCAGTAACAACAACCATAACCCTTGGACCATATTCAGAAAAATATTCCTCATTCCAGTCATAATACTGAACAACGTAAGAATAGTCTACAGCTAAATTTCGCACGTTTATACCTTCTATGACTCGAGTGCACCCATAAAAACTACCGCCCATGTACATGAGATACAGGAGAACCACTACTACCTTTGTCCAGGTGTGCATAAGAAAGGGTCCATAATGGCTTCTGAAGAATTCATTCATAGGATGTTCAAACTCTGTTCCTGTGGTCTCATCAAAAGATCCTCCTACGCAGCATATATTATATAGAACACCCTGAGAATCCTGATGCTCACAATTGACTTTCATAAAGGTGAGCCAATGCCTGTTGCTTTCTTCTCTTCTACCGTTTAGAGCAAGAACAGCCCCAAGGAATGTCAGGTTGTAAATGTAGCAGAACACAAAAGCGGTTCCTGTATAGATGCAAAATGACTGAACTGATGGGAAGGGACTTCCAATTCCTATATAGAAGGCTAAAACATCAGTAAGTGTTGTGATAGTAACGGACACAGATGCTTCCGCATAGGTGTCAGCCATCCGATCTTTAATGCTTTTTTCCACTTTGGTGTGTTGCCAACAGGACACCAGGATGAACATGTCATCTACACCAACACCTGGACAAATGGTAGAGATATTATGTGTCACTTTCCACATGCCAGATGAGACAGAGGAACAAAACCAGTAATCAAGAATACAGAAGACAATGGTGCATCGAGTACAAGAGCTGGTGGGAACAACAGCAATGCTGGAAGAACATTTTGGAGAAACAGAGAAAAAAGAGAACACCCAGTGCACTTATTCACATCAGTGGAAGCAAAAGCTAGACTTGGGATTTGGTGGCTTAGAGGAAGGAACAGATGAAAATACATATAAATGGAGGGTTAGCACTTTGGCAAGTTTCATAGGTGGAGGAGAGGTGGACCTGGAGGAGGATATGGATCAAGTGTATGGAGATACATCTTTACACCTTATAGAGAGACTATATGTACCAGACTCAGTAAGGAAGACCAGGGAGTTTTGCAGAAGAATACAGTTGTCCCTCCACATTTGCAAGTTTAACTTTTGCAAATGTAGTTATTAATTATTAATACTTATTATTCTATTACTTCAGCAGAAGTTGACCATAATGTTGCACTGGGGGACATAGCAATTTCTAGACAGACCACTTCTTGAAATATTTGTAGATCTTCCGTTGTGGCTCTTTGGTCAACTTCTAGTGGAGTCTGATCAAGGACCTCATTATATGGAAGTTTCTTTTTGTTTCTACCCGTTTCTACACACTTCAAAGACGGAGCCTATCAAACAACGCTTCTGGTGATTGCTTGTTGGACTCCATCTCCACAGAGTGTAGAAACATTTAGAAAATGGAAATCTCCAGAACTTTTTGGAGATTTTATGATATTTGGAAGTCACCACATTTTGAAAAATGATGCCATAACCTCTTGGTAAAATCATTACCTGTTAGTCATAACCTTTTAGGAAAATTGCATTCATGCAGACAAAGATACAGAATTTCAGACGTGTTCCTTTTAGTTGCCCAAAAAAATCTGCTCTCCCTTAAAATATATTTGTCTTTAAATCATGCTCTCAAGAGAAAAAAATAAGCAGACTTCTTTAAAAGTAATATAGTTGGTTTACTCATAAACTTCATGTATTCAGCATACAGGTACTTTGCATATCAATCCAGTTACAAGTAGATTTGAAGTAGGTTCTCTGTATTGGTAATGCAAGGCATCTTTTTCATAACCAACAGTCCATAATCTAAAGCATCTCTCTGTTCTGAGAGTCTAATAGAGCCTGTTTTAACTAACTTCTAAATTGTATTGGTTTTACTGAAGTCTTTAAGCAAACAGTTCCTACTGAATTCTAAAATGTTTCTAAAATGGAGTCAGAGTCCTAAACAAACCTAGTTCTGATCACATGGTCTGCAGCCCCTCCTACAACAAAGCGTTAAAGTAAAATTGCAAACTACTATAGACATATAGAATCCAGTAAACAATTATATGTAAAATAAATAACTAGTGGCAGCTTGAGAATATTGCTATTTCACCTGTGAACTTGACCTTTCCCCCCTCAATTTTATCTTTACAATCCACACCAGGCATGAAAATGGCAGCGGACACTGCTTGGCACCTGGAGTGACAATATCAAGCCGGCTCTTTAGCTTAGAAATGGAGATGAGCACCACCCTCCAGAGTCGGACACAACTAGACTTAATGTCAAGGGGAAACCTTTACTTTTTATATATAATTATTTTATAAGACTGAACTTGAGGGAAAAAAAATCATAGCTCAACCCAGAATTCCCTTCACAGCAAAAGGAATGTATAGATGGAGGAAAGAAGAAGTTCAATTTTGTGCATAAGCATAGATAAGGAAACCCCACAAGAAATATATATACTTGCTCACTTACCCAGTATAAGGAATGGTGAGTTTGCAGCTGTGATAACAAATGGCACGCCACAAAACATCAGCAATCCAAAGCTACTGATGACAGATAAGCCTACTGCCAGTACCCCAAAAGCTGCCACCCACACTTTGGTTCTCACACAGTCCATCCTATAAAATAGATTAAGAAAAATTAAATTGGATTGTGAGTTTCATGGTCCCTACCAAACTGTATTGGCTGCAGCCTTGGTCAATATTTGAGTTACATTCTCCATACCCATAAGGAAAAAAATGCAATTCATTTTTGAAACAAGCCCAGGCAGTCCCCCAGTTGTATCAAAACTTCTTAAGCTTTAAACATTGCAACAAGCTATATGCGGGACTTCATGATTCAGATCAGAACTAGGACTTAAGGATTCAAAACTTACAGAATGTCTCAGTTAGAAGAGACACATTAATTAATGGTATTAACACAAGTGCTGACATACTATTCAGCAAATGACTGTTGGGCTTATCTAGATGGGACAACCAACAGGATTAACTCCCAAAAGTCCCACTGCAATTCAAGTGCTATATCACTGAATACATACTTTATAACAGGACTGCACTCAAAATGCTGTTTCCACTTGTTTTCTACAGAGGTTTAGCAATATGTTTTGGAACCCTAGGTAATCACCATTCCTGTCTTTTCAGCAATATGCATAAGGAGAGTCCAAAAACCCAAGTCGCTTCATGGTTTATATTCTATCAGTCCTTAATCTTCATCAGGGGTAGGTCTGTTGTAAAGCTAGTGGATCTTGCTTGGTCAACTCCAAGCCACTTTCAAATACTTTAGATTACCACAGGGATATCCTCACAACAATGTATTGTTGCTGGGGAAATCCATGTCCCCTCCGGCCTCTGTGGGGACTGCAGAGAGAATTCAGGGGGAAGAGGAGAATTCAAGGAAAAGGGTGTTGGATGATGACATGGGTTTCTACTAATGTATAAGTATAGGGATTTCTAGGTTGCTGTGAGTTTTCCAGGCTGTACGGCCATGTTCCAGAAGCATTCTCTTTTGACGTTCCCCTTCCCTGACTTGTCATTTTTACAAGCCACAAGGGCTGATGGAGCAGCCACATGGCAACCTGGTCAGTTCTTATTTTATTTTAAGGCTCGTTGCAATGGTGTAGTAACAGTGAGGCCGCAGACCATATTTTAGTTCTTGGGGACCACTGGTGATCCATGGACCACAGGTTGGGAACCACTGCCCTAGAGTGTCTAGCTACATAATAAAGGGAAAAGTCAATGTCTCCCTCCTCCCAAGACAAGGGGGAACACATTACCTTGAACACGACACAATTGAAAAGAATATTGTTAAAAAATATGTGATTGAGACAAGTGGGATCACATCCTTGGAGATTTTTTCAAATTCTTCCTGTCTGGACACTGAAGTAAAATACGCTACCTGTCAGGTTGGGGGTGAAAACAAGAGGAAGAAAATAAAGAATTAAATATGTTTTCTTTCTTAAGGGAAGTCATAATAAGAGTAACAACAAGAACAAGAACAACAACAAGAACAACAACAACGAGTATGGAATTATACTAAGAAAGTCAAAGAAGGTGAGGGAAAAAAAAAGTGAGGGAGGAATTGGAGGACTTAAAAGAAAGTTGAAATTCTCTGCCAGTCAAAACAGCAGCACGGCAGGGATTTTATATAGGAAATTGAGGAGATGAAAGTGGGGAAAAGGTTCAGGAAACAGGACTTTATTACCTAGCGAGAAGGGAGGGAGAGCGCAGGAAGAGGGGGGGGGGGGGAATTGTTGTGGAGAAATGGAATGAAGATAGATAAGAGGCACCGAGAGAAAAGGACAAAGGAGGCAGAGAGGTGTGGATGGAAGGAGGGAGCTTGCATGCTTTAGAAACTTTAAGAACCTGTAGTATAAAAGGCTGAGTTGCATCTCAGCCTCATGGCACTTATTTTCCCTGTTGCACACCCAATAGCTTTGCTCTGGCCAAAATAACTCAGCTGCATTTTAATCTCCTTGCCTCTAGTGTCAGACTGAAACAGAGATACTAGGGATTTGGAGCAGCACCTAGCCTCAACAATAATGTTATTTGTTACTTACCGAGCAGGGTACCCCAAATCATGTAGGGCTTTAAAAGTCATATCCAACACTTGGTACTTTGCCTAGAAACTAATTGGCAGCCAATGGAGTGATTTTAGTATAGACACAACATACTCCCTCCTAGATGTTCCCAACCAATCCGGCTGATCTGTTTTGAACTAACTGGAGTTTCCAAGCTTGGTACAGAGGAAACCCAATATACAGCACATTGCCTATGTCTAACCTTGGGGCGATAAGTCATTGCACTACCGCTTTTAGATCTTCCAATTCTAGGAAGGGGCAGAACTGAAGTCCACAATAAGCACTGCTGACCATCTCATCTACCTGGACCAACATTTGGAGGTACAGATTAAAACAGGCCCATAGCCAGGATTTTGAATGGGGGGGGGGAGCTGAGTTTGATTCTGGGGGGGCTGAGTCTGAGTGAAAGAGGGTCTACCCTAGCAAACCTTTTGTATCGTTCCCCAATATCCCCATGCATATGGGATATATTGAGCATGGTGATCAGATCATGATATGAATAAACATAACAGTTTAAATAATGTACCAGTAAGGCCTTCTTGTGGACCACCATGAGAATTTCGGGGGGGGGGGGGGGAAGCCCCTTAAGCCCCCCCCCCCCCTACATGCCTGGATTAAAAGAACTGGAAATTCTAGTGGCTTGTGTGATGAGGTTGAAAGGCTGTTGAGTTGCACTTCCCAATATCCCCCGTCTACCTGGTAGATAATCACAAGTGAGGGGAGTTGTCCTTCTAAGGCAGTGTCTCTCAACCTGGGGAACAGGACCCCTGGACCCCGGTCATGAGGGGAGAGTGCATGAGGCTGGAGGGAGGCTTGCGCTAGCAAGTCACGGGGGTTCTGTGTGTGTCAAGTTTGGTTCAATTTCATCGTTGGTGGAGTTCAGAATGCTCTCTGATTGTAGATCTATAAATCCCAACAACTACAACTCCCAAATGACAAAATCAATCCCCCCAACCCCACCAGTATTCAAACTACAACTCCCAAATGACAAAATCAACCCCCCAACCCCACCAGTATTCAAATTGGGATGTATTGGGCATTTGTGCCAAATTGGTCGGTGCAGTTCAGAGCGCTCTTTGGTTGTAGGTTAACTATAAATCCCAGCAACTACAACTCCCAAATGACAAAATCAATCCCCCCCAACCAGGCATGTAGCGGGGGGGGGGGGGGCTTGAGGGGCTTCAGCCCCCCCCCCCGAAATTCTCATGGTGGTTCGCGAAAAGGCCTTACTGGTGCATTATTTAAACTGTTATGTTTATTCATATCATGATCTGATCACCATACTCAATATATCTCATATGCATGGGGGTATTGGGTAACGATACAAAAGGTTTGCTAGGGTAGACCCTCTTTTCACTCAGACTCAGCCCCCCCCCCCCGAAAAAAAACCTCTGCCCTCCCCCCCCCAATCGAAATCCTGGCTAGGGGCCTGCCCCCAACCCCACGTATATTTGTACCAAATTTGGTCCAGTGAATGAAAATACATCTGCATATCAGATATTTACATTATGATTCATAACAGTAGCAAATCTACAGCTATGAAGTCGCAACAAGAATAATTTGATGATTGAGGGTCACCACAACATGAGGAACTGTGATGATGGGGTCGCGGCATGAGGAAGGTTGAGAAGCTGGCCCTCTCCCTCCATGCCCTCTCCCTCCATGGCTTCAAGGACCAGGGAGGGTGAGGTGGTGTTAGGGGCGCCCACTGACCCGGATGGAGGTGAGCTGCAAGGAGTAGAGGAGCTGTGGGGCGCTGTCGATGAAGTCGTGGAGCCAGCGCTGGCTCTGCTCCTTGGGTCCGGCGTGGTCCTCCTGCAAGAAGTAGAGGAGGCGCAGGGCCTTGGCGGCGCGGACGGGGCGGGAGGGGTGGTCGCCGGGGTGGAGGGCGACGCCTCCCAGGAAGGGACCCAGGGGGAAGCGGCCCATGAAGAGCGGGAAAGTCAGGATTGGCAGCAGCGTCTGGATGCGGGCGGGATTCCCTTGCACGGCGCTCAGGAGCGGGTTGGGGCTGGTGCAGTCCACGGCGGGGCCGCTCCGGGCGCAGACCTCCTCGAAGGAGAACCCCGCGCTACTCCGCAGCGCCCGCACCGCCCCGTCCAGCGCCAGCAGCTCCGCGAAGGCTTCCCGCGTGAGGATGGAGTCCTTTCCCGGGGCGGCCACGGCGATGATAGCGGCGTAGGAGCCTTCGGTGCTGAGCCTCTGGGCGGAGAAGCGCCGGCTGTCGTCGGTGGGGAAGTGCTTCTGGACCAGGCGGCGCTCGCTCTTGGCGGGGCCCCTGACCGGCGTGTACTGCTCCTCGATGTCGTTGGCTTCGCGGGCCTTGAGGTACATGAAGCCCGAGCCCAAGGAGGCCGCCACCACCATGGGCAGCAGGAGGAAGGGCCACGGGTAGGAGCCCACGCAGGCGCCCAGGGCCCGCAAGGCGCGCGAGAGAGGGCGCTCCAGGCAGTCCGTGTGGCACCTCTGGCCCGGCATCGCGCCCTCCGAGGGAAGGAAGGCAAGCAGGAAGGAAGGAAGGAAAGAAGGAAGGGGCTCCCGGAGACAGTTGGCCCCTCAACCGTCCCTCCCTCGCCTTGGAAGCATTCCACCGGAGGACCAGAACGTCCGCGTCCAGGACCTTTCTACACTTACTCATCACACTAAGCAAAGAATCCACTTCAAATCCGGTTGCTGCCTCCTGCAGAATTCTGAGGTTTGTAGTTTAGGGAGGAGCCTTTAACAGCCTCCCTAAACTACAAACCTCAAAATTCTGCAGGAGGCAGAAACAGGGTTTTCAGTGGATTCATTCCCTGTGATGAAGTGTACAGGCAGTCTCGGAGTTACAAACATCCGACTGACAATCAGCTTGAAAGAAAGTAAGGGCACACACACATACACTCTCCCTCGAGGCACATGAGATTCATGACATTGCACTGCAGACAAGGCATCATGTTTTCATGTGGATTGAGCATGGGCAAACATCTGAGTGACAAATTATGAAACTATATTATGTATAGGCCCGGGTGCTGAATGTGGCCCCTTGGGCTCTTTTTTCAGCCCCCTCCCCTCACCATCCTATCCTTCCTTCCTTCCTTCTCTCTTTCCTTCCTCATTCTCTCCCTCCCTTCCTTACCTCCTTCTTTCTCCTTCCCTTCTTCCTTCCCTCTCTCCCTTTCTCCTTCCTTCTCTCTCTCCCTCCCTCCCTTTTGCCTTTCCTTCCTTCTCACTTCCCTTCCTCCATTCCTGTGTTTCTCAACCTGGGGATCAGGATCCCTGGGGGGGCGGGGGCAAGAGAGGGTGTCAGAGGGATCGTCAAAGACCATCAGAAAACACAGTATTTTCCTTTGGTCATGACCGGAAAATTCCGTGGGTCAGGGTGAGTTCCTGCAGTTTGTCCTAGCTTCTGCCAACCTAGCAGTTAGAAAACATGTAATGTGGATAGATCAATAGGTGGGAAGATAAAAGACACCCATGCAGCCATGCCAGAAAAACATGACCAGGAGGGACAACAAGCTCCTTGACTTGGAAAAATGGAACAAGAACACCTTCCCATGGCCAGAGTTGAGCATTGCCTCCAGACACTAGAGATGGAAAAGGGAAACCTTTGCCTTTGTGTATTGTATGTCATTGTTCACTATATAAAATGCGTTTAATGTTTGCCTATATATGTGCATACTGTAATCTGCTCTGAGTCCCCTCGGGAAGATACAGCAGAATAATAATAATAGTAGTAATAATAATAATAATAATAATAATAATAATAATAATAATAATGTGATACATAACAAGATTAGTACACAGCAAACAAGATCACTATGCTGGCTTTTGTATTTGATTACATGTCGGAAACTTGCTAAGTGTCTAGGATTGTGTGATGTATCAGCAAATAATGTGTGCAGAGCCAAGTAGGGTGCCCTTTTGCAGCTGACAGATGGTAATTTTGTCAACAATAGTAGTGACAGTGAGTCACCCGGGAAAATTCCTCCCTTGATGTTAACAGTTCCATAGCTTTCATTGTCCACAAACAACTTAGTTTTCCATTGTTTCATTGCATTTCAGTGAACTTGCTAATATTTTCACAAACCTCAATGACATCCAGACATTTGATGATCCAATTATGTGGCAGTGAGCCAAATGCTTCTTCGTCTTCTTCTTCTTCTTCTTCTTCTGGATTACTTCATTTGCAGTATGATAGACAAGATGACTCTTGGGATACTTTCCATCTATACAGCTTTATAATTCTATGAATTGCATATGGTAGTCTGACACAGTGTGTCAGTTGGGGTTGGATTGTGTTTGTCCCCATGACAAAGGAAAGCAGTTTGGATCCTTTGAAAATAGTTGTGATTCACACAGATGGATTCATCCGAGAGAGAAGAAAACATATCACAGAAATCAAATAAATATATGTTGTTTATTATGCACCCCTCCTATTGACAACAATTCAGAAAGGACTGTAGTAATTATACAGCATGGATCAATATAGCTAAATGACACACACTACAGCCAAATATAATATATCTGCAGAGTTAAAAGAAAGCCTAACTCCACCTTGAGATGAAACACCAGACAGAGCTCTCCTTTTTCTGGTCAGTCGTGTTTTTTAGTGTTAGCCAGTGATGCTTGTGTATATACACTGAGCATCTCATACTCTCCTCTGAAAAGGTGGGATGAAAGGAAAACTAAACTAAATAAATGAATAAACTAAGGAGGATAATTTAATTTAATTTAATACTCACACAAGATATATGCAAATCAGTCCTCTTGACACTGCAAGGGCATTGCTTACTCAAAGGTATTTTAGATTTAAACATTTGAAGCTATGAATCTTGCCGAATATTTACTTCTGATAAATCCTACTTCGATGGTCTCAGCTCATTTATAGATGAAAGGAACTTTGAACTGGGGTAGTGCATAACATAGACTTCCCTTGTTAAAACATAAGAGCCTTGTCTCCTTCCAAGATGAGTCCGTTTCCTTTGACATTTAGATCTGGACTTGATTTGCCATATATTGCATATTCTCAGATATTCATTCCATTGAAATCAAAAGGAATTATTCCTGGCAGATATGTTAACAAAGAACTACAGCCTAAGAAGGACAATTCTGAGAAACAACGATAATACAGAACTTTTGTCAGTTAAGGAACTGGATGTAAGTTATTTCGTGTTCACAAGATGTTCACCAAATATCTTATGCAGAAGGTAGAAACAATTTATGGATTTAGCACATCACTTGCCCATCTCTTTCTTCCATATTTATGTTATGACTGGCATGACTCTGAACTGTGAGCAGCATCCAAGACTCTAATACAGGAAGGTTAATGAATCGTCACAGTGATGTATAGACTGTTAAGTAGAATGGCTCCAAATAAACCCCATCATCTCATTCTATATTAATTTAGGGGTGTACCACATTGTACATGAATCCTTGTGGCATGTCATAATGTACAAACATGTAATGATCTTCCCAACAAACCACAAATCATTTATTATAAGTATTATGCTCTACTGAAAATAGGTATTCTTTGCTAAGGAGCAGTTCTTGTGCTACAGAAGAAATCCTAGTGAGATGCCTTCCTCGTTCATTAAAAAGCCACATGATCATAAGGCCTTGCATTTACGGCAGCTGTTATTAATTTTTTCATATTAGCAGTAGCCTCATTTCTAGTGTTTTGATCTAAAAATATGGCACTCCTTAACACGGGGACTTTCGACATCATTGTTTTTGATGCCGTCAGTTTAACAATTAGGCACAGCTTCTAAAGAAAGTTAAGAAAACAGGAATAAAAAGGAGACCATGAGCAAGCCCAAACATAATCACTAGAAATATTATCTTAAAACAGATTCTGAAGACAATTGTGTTTGCCAATGCTAGTACAAAGACTCCCACAAGGGTGGATAAAGCTGCCTGTATTATAGGATAACCAAGTCGATACAGGGCATCCACTGCCTTCTCATTCATTTGGAGTTTCTCGCTGGAAACAAAAGCATAAGAAATATGTGCTGAGTAATCTACGGAAAATCCTATGCAGATAACAAGGTTGATCATAGATATGGAGTCAAGATTAATGTTCCAGTAGAACATGTAACCAGACACACCGACAATAACAGATACAATTGCAAACGTTACCCATAAACAGCAGAAAGGATTGGGAATCAGCAGTAAGGAAACCACTAACATGGCACCAGTTGCAATCAGAACATTTTGAATGGTGTTTTCAATTATCACAAGAAATTGATCATATAATATAAAAGCTGGATGATAAACTATCATTGGAATCTTGCACTCTTCAACAATGCTTCTTAGTTCAATTAGGAGATTTTTCTCATCCACTGCAGTCCTAACATTGATTGTTTGGATGAAAAACCGTGAAGCTGATATTTCAGTAGTAGTAAAATTAACATCCCACTCATATTCAGGATTTAATCCAAACAGGGTAGCTAGATTTCCAATGAAATCATTGCGATTGTTTATATTTAGAGATATTGTCGAAGTGACCATTTCATAAATCCTGAGCCATGACTCTGATAAATTCCCCTCTATGAAGGATGAATTTTCTAGTTTCTTCATGCAGGACTCAATATCATTACGAACAGATGGATCCCAATATGCTACACTTTCGGTAACAATAACCATAACCCTTGGACCATACTTGGAAAAGTATTCCTCTTCAAAGTCATAATATGGAATGATGTATGAATTATCAACAGCTACATGTCGAAGATCCATACCTTCTTCCACTTGAATACACCCATAAACACTACTCCCTATGTAAAGAAAATACAAGATTGCTACAAACGCCTTGGCCCAATTGTTCATGAAGAAAGGCCCATAATAACTTCTAAAGAATTCATTCATAGGGGGTTCAAGCTCTGTTCCGGTTGTCTCATCAAAAAATCCTCCCGTGCAACACATACGATACAGACAACTCTGAGAAGCCTGAGGCTCAGGATCCATTTTCCTGAAGGTGAGCCAATGTCTGTTGCTTTCTTCTCTTTTACCATTTAGAGCAAGGATAGCTCCAAGGAATGTCATGTTGTATATGAAGCAGAAGAGGAAGGCTGTCCCAGTATAGATGCAAAATGACTGAACTGACGGGAAGGCAGTTGCAATTCCAATGTAGAAGGCCAGAACATCAGTAAGAGTTGTGATGGTAACCGATACGGCTGCTTCTGAGTAAGTGTCAGCCATCCGTTCTCTGATGCTTTGCTTTACTTGTGTACGTTGCCAGCAGGATACCAGGATGAACATATCATCAATTCCAATTCCTAAGAGAAGGAGGTTTAGAAATAGACAGTATAAGTACACACATGCCCATTTGAAGAATGTATAGGCAAGCTGGGCATGCTTAGGAATTAATACTTATTTATTGGAAATCCTAAATACAAGTAACAAAGACTAATTTGCTATGTGTTCATTCCACATCTCCAATAATACAGTCAGTCCCCCACATTTGCTAGAGTTAGGGGTTCCACAAAAGTATTTATTTATTTATTTATTTATTTACTATATTTATATACTGCCTTTCAAACCCGGGGGGGGGGGGGGGACACTCATGCTGGTTTACAACATACTAGTATAGAAAAACTGAGAATAAAAAACAACTGCTTTCTCTTGTAGACAACACCTCTTTAGGAATCCCTAGGTCCTTCAGCATAACTCCATGGCCAACATCTACCAGAAGCTGATATAGGATTGTACTGGAGGACCTACACATATCTAAAGAATTTTATGAATATTTTGGCTTTCCGGTGCAACTATTATTTATTTATTTACAGCATTTATATACCGCTTTTCTCACCCCTAGGGGGACTCAAAGCGGTTTACACATAGATAATGGCAAAAATTCAATGCCTTAAAACTACAATATTAAAACCATACTTTAAACATAAATCATATTAAAAACAGTACATCATCAAATATCAAAACAGTCATCAAAACCATAAAACAATCTCATCAGTTATGGTTAACTATCAGCAAAAGTTGACCACAGAGTCACGCTGGAGAACATGGAGAGAACATAATTCCCTTCGGGTCCAACCTATCTTCGAGACTGCATCTCCTTCTACTAACTGGTGTGGACATTAAGATCTGCTGGGAAGGCCCTTCTTTCGGTCCTACTACCGCCTCAAGAAAGGTTGGTGGGAATGAGAGAGTGGCCTTCTCGGTGGTGGCGGCTTCCCGGCTCTGGAATACCCTACTTAAAGAAATTAGATTAGCCTCTTCTCTTCAGGCCTTCTGGGTGAGTCTGAAAATATGGCTCTTCAAACAGGCCTTTGATGCTGAGTAATCCATGGCCAATGTGATGAATCATTGATAGCACTGGCCCACACTTTGATTGTTATGACAAATAGCCAGTTGGCAGGTTCCTCTGTGTTTTAGGAATTTTATAATTTTCAATTTTTTATAATTTTATTAATGAGATTTTTATGCATTGTTGATTATACATATGTCATTGTATTTATTAAATCAGAGGTAAGAATCACATGCTCATCTAGATGTCATTGGGCGGGAAACCTCAGCGCCTTAGCCAGCTTAGCCAGTAATGAGGAAGGCTGAGAAATGAAGTTAACCAGCTTGTAGTGCTACATGGTTCTGTGAACTCCTAAATCAAATGTTAGGAGCATATCCTTCCTTGGAGGAACAACTGATTATAAAATGCCTCTTTTCTCAATTTGTATGAAGGGAACATACAAATTATCCGACATAAATGGGCCGGCAGAACATTGGATAAGTGAAAATGTTGGATAATAAGGAGGGATTAAGGGAAAGTCTATTAAACGTCAAATTATGTTATGATTTTACAAATTAAGCACCAAGACATCATGTTTTACAACAAATTGACAGAAAAAGGCAGTTCAATACACAGTAACATTATGTAGTAATTACTGTATTTATGAATTTAGCACCAAAACAGACAAGGGTTCTTTCTTTCTCCCACCCTGGACATTATTCCAGGCGGGAGGCAGATTGCATTGGAAAATACAGAATGTTGGATGAGTGAAGGTTGGATAAGAGAGACTCTATTATACATGTAACTGTGACTGTATTAGGTAGGAGGAACAATTTGGGCCCCAACCTGATATTTGTTAATATATATAGTGAATGAATATAGTCTAAAATGTGTGTTTTTCCTGCAGAAGGAGTCAATTAAAATTGTCGGTGTAACCTTAACCGATTTCAACTTGGTCTATTATTGTGAAAATATCAAATATGGATTTGCCTTCAGAATACAAAAGGCCATGAAATGGGGAAGACTGTACTTTTGCTGGAAAAAAACAACTTTCTCTTTCTGTGTATTATTAAATGGGAAAAGTTATCTTACGTGAGAAGCAACGAGATCAAAAATCTGTATGTGCAAAAATGCAAATCTCAGTCTATGGCTTTCTGCGAAAAGCAAGATAAGAGGAAGAAATAAAAAAGGAAGATGCAGTTCAAGTGTAACATTAGTGTCTGGCAGAAAAATAAACTGGATTTGCATTATACAGCATGATCCTATAAATGTATTCTCAGATATTAATTCCATTGAAATCAAAAGGAATTATTCCTGGCAGATATGTTAACAAAGAACTACAGCCTAAGAAGGACAATTCTGAGAAACGACGATAATATAGAACTTTTGTTGGTTAAGGAACTGGATGTAAGTTCCTTCGTGTTCACAAGATGTTCACCAAATATCTTATGCAGAAGGTAGAAACAATTTATGGACATGCTCACTTACCGAGTATAAGAAATGGTGAATTCGCAGCTGTGATAACAAAGGGCACACCACAAAACAACAACAAGCCAAAACTGCTGAGGACAGCTAATCCTGATGACATCACCCCGAAAGCTGCGACCCATATTTTTGTCCGGACATTGTCTAACCTGCAAAACAGATTAAAAAGAACCTGGTTTGTAAAAGAGAAGAATCTAACAGAATTCTGATTCATTCGACATGCCTCTGCCTTCTTGAACAAAACTACAATGCCACCTACAGTTGCTACATGGAACATGTACTGATACCAATCTCCAGGCCAGTGGTTCTCAGCCTTCCTAATGCCATGACCCCTTGATACAGTTTCTGATATTGTGGTAACCTCCAACCATAAGATTATTTTCATTGCTACTTCATAACTGTAATTTTGCTACTGTTATGAATTGCAATGTAAATATCTGATTTGCAGGATATATTTTCATTCACTGGACCAAATTTGGCACATATCTGCGATACACCCAAATTTGAATACTGGTGGGGTTGGGGGGGGGGGGGTTGATTTTGTGATTTGGGAGTTGTAGTTGTTGGGATTTATAGTTTACCTGCAAACAAAGAGCATTCTGAACTCCACCAACGATGGAACTGAACCCAATTTGGCACACAGAACTCCCATGAACAACAGAAAATACTGGGTTGGATGAGCATTGACCTTATGTTTTGAAGTTGTAGTTCGCCTACATCGAGAGAGCACTGTAGACTCAAACAATGATAGATCTGGGTCAAACTTGGCACAAATACTAAATATGTCCAAATGTAAACACTGGTTTGGAGAAAATAGACCTTGACATTTAGGAGTTGTCGTTGCTGGGATTTATAGTTCACCTCCAATCAAAGGGCATTCTTAACCCCACCAATGATAGAATTGGGCCAAACTTCCCACACAGAATCCCCATAGCTAACAGAAATACTGTATTTTCTGATGGTTTCTGGCAACTTTTCCGACATCCCCTCATGACCCCCCCCCCCAGGGTCCTGCCCCCCAAGTTGAGGAATGCTGCTCTAGGCTTTGAAACATTGCCTTGAGCTTGAACTTTTACAAAGCAGAACAAGACAAAGATATATCAATTCCATGAGTCTCACAACGCTGACTTGGAATTGCTTCAGCAGGCTGGATCTTTATCCTTGCATGGCTCCATTTTTCCTATGAGGCTGTAGGAAGATTAAAGTCAAGCAAGACAAGTCCAGAAAAGGTGAAGCCCTCTTAACCCCATCTGTCCCAAAATGTTTTATATTGATGTTGAATTTTGCTGTGTTCTGTGTCTTGTGAACCGCCGTGAGTCGCCTTCGGGCTGAGAACAGCGGTATAGAAGTAAAGTAAAGTAAAGTAAAGTAAAGTAAATAAATAAATAAATGTCATAAGCAAAACATATTTTGGTAGACTAGGTGCATTCATCTACCATACTTTCTTAGTACCAAAACCTCACTTAGGAGTAGAGATGTGTAGGATTACATTTAATATGTATTGCCTCTACACTTGCAACAACAGGATAAACACATTTGGGAAGACACACAACTACAATGATAAAGAAAACAGATTTCCCCCTTCCTCCCAAGAATAATGTGAAAGGTTACCTTGAACATGATAATATTGAAAATAAGATTGTTAAAAAATACGCAACAGTCACCAATGGGATCACATCCTCGGCAAGTTTTTCAAATTCCTTCTGTCTGGATAATGAGGTAAAATAGACCACCTATCAGGTTGGGGGCAAGAAAAAAAGGAAGATAAACCATGACATATTTTGACTCCTGTATTTTTCAGTGTTCGCAAGGGCTTAAAAAATAGGCTGTATCAAGCACACAAAACTATTGTGATTGTTGGTAGGGTGACAAAATGCAGCCTTGCCTGATACCCTTGCCAGTTGGAAACTATTCTGTCTCTTTCTATTCTGCCCCAAAAGTAGCCTCTTGACTTGCATGTATGTTACTCTCAGAATAATAAAATGTAATGGCCCATCCATTTCTTTAAGAGTGATCCAAAGTTTTTCATGATCTAAACAATCAAAGTGTTGCTATAACCTACAGAACACAAGCTGATTTTCTTCTGACATTTTCCAGTGTATGCTTCCAACATGATCACCAATGCTTCTTCTTTTTCTAGACCATGCTTGGGCACCTGCAATACTAATAAGTTTAGATTTGTTAAAACTGTTCTTCATTTTAATTATTGTATTGTTTTAAAGTGTTTTTGCACTACAAATAAGATATGTGCAGTGTGCATAGGAATTCATTTATGTTTTGGGTTGTTGTAGGTTTTTTGAGGCTATATGGCCATGGTCTAATGCCTCTAGACCATGGCCATATAGCCCGAAAAAACCTACAACAACCCAGTGATTCCGGCCATGAAAGCCTTCGACAATACATTTATGTTTTTTTCAAATTATAATCTGGCCCTCCAACAGTTTGATGGACTATGACTTGGCCCTCTGGTTAAAAAGTTTGAGGACCCCTGGGTTAGGGTAAGGGGTTAGGCTTAGGCTTACAGTACGGTTCAGGGTTAGGGTGAGGTTTAAGGTTTGGGTTAGGGTAAGGGGTTCGGTTTAGGCTTACGGTAAGCTTCAGGTTATGGTAAGGGTTAGGGTTTGGGTTAGCGTAATGGTTAGGGTAAGGGTTAGGATAAGGTTTAGGGTAAGGGGTTAGGCTTAGGCTTACGGTATGGTTCAGGGTTAGGGTAAGGGTTAGGGTTTGGGTTAGTGTAAGGGGTTAGGCTTTGGCTTACGGTACAGTACTGGGTAAGGGTTAGGGTTTCACCATTAAAGTAGTCTTCTATATTCTATATTATCTGTCTCCGGCCTGGCTTACATTAGCTAAGGAGGAGTGATGCGGCATCTCCGTAACGCTCGGAGCTTCCAGATCCAGCTATCATCAGGGGTGGCTCAACCCCTTACGCAAAGTAAGCATTTGCGGTATAGTTGATTTTGCCCAGGGGCGCTCTTGAGGTGCTCTTGGGGGAAAATAGACCTTGACATATGAGTTGTAGTTACTGGGATGTATAGTTTACCTACAATCAAAGAGCATTCTGAACTCCACCAATGATGGAATTGAACCAAATATGGCACACAGAACTCCCACGATGAACAGAAAATATATATCAGTGATTGGTGGGGGGGGGGGGCAAAATACTGTTTGCTTACCATTGAAAATTACCTAGGGCCACCTCTGTCTATCATACTATTACATCTGGGGGGCCACGTTTGTCCAGACCTACCTACCTCTCATCATTTCATAGCCATGAGCAGGCCGGTAGCCAGGATTTTGTTTTGGGGGGGGGGCTGAATTTTTTTCAGGGGGGGTTTTGGGGGGGTCTGATTCTGAGTGAAAGAGGGTCTAGCCTAGCAAACCTTTTGTATCATTACCCCAATGCATATGGGATATATTGAGTATGGTGATCAGATCATGATATGAATAAACATAACAGTTTAAATCAGTGCTTCTCAACCTTCCTAATGCTGCGACCCTTTAATACAGTTCCTCATATCGTGGTGACCCCCAACCACTACATTATTTTTGTTGCTACTTCATAACTGTATTTTTGCTCCTGTTTTGAATCGTAATGTAAATATCTGATACATAGGATTATTTTCATTCACTCGACCAAATTTGGCACAAATATCCGATACACTGACATTTGAATGCCGGTTGGGGTTGGGGGGGGCTTGATTTTGTCATTTGAGAGTTGTAGTTGCTGGGATTTATAGTTCACCTACAATCAAAGAACATTCTGAACTCTACTAATGATGGAATTGAGCCAAACTTGGCACACAGAACTCCCACGTCCAACAGAAAATACTGGAAGGGTTTGGTGGACATTGACCTTGAGTTTTGGAGTTGCAGTTCACCTAACTTGGCATGGATCCTCAATATGCCCAAATGTGAACACTGGTGGAGTTTGGGGGAAATAGATTCTTGACATTCTGAACTCCATCAAAGATAGAATTGGGACAAACTTCCCACACAGAACCCTCCATGACCAACAGAAAATACTATGTTTTCTGATGCTCTTCAGTGACCTCTCTGACATCCCCTTGCGACCCCCTCAGGGGTCCCGACCCCCAGGTTGAGAAACACTGGTTTAAATAATGCACCAGTAAGGCCGATGCTTTTGAGCTGTGGTGTTGGAGGAAAGTTCTGAGAGTGCCTTGGACTGCGAGAAGATCCAACCAGTCCATCCTCCAGGAAATAAAGCCCGACTGCTCATTCGAGGGAAGGATACTAGAGACAAAGTTGAAGTACTTTGGCCACATCATGAGGAGACAGCAAAGCCTAGAGAAGACAATTATGCTGGGGAAAGTGGAAGGCAAAAGGAAGAGGGGCCGACCAAGGGCAAGATGGATGGATGGCATCCTTGAAGTGACTGGACTGACCTTGAAGGAGCTGGGGGTGGTGACGGCTGACAGGGAGCTCTGGCGTGGACTGGTCCGTGAGGTCACGAAGAGTCGGAGACGACTGAACGAATGAACAACAACAAAGGCCTTTTCGCGAACCACCATGAGAATTTCGGGGGGGGGGGGGCTGAAGCCCCTCAAGCCCCCCCCCCCCCCGCTACATGCCTGGCCATGAGCGATGCCAGCGCCGATGTGGGCCAAAGCTCAGGAGGCGAGGTGGAGGGAGGGAGAGAGGGCGGCCCTACCTGGAGGCCGGTGTGGTTGAGGGCGCGGATGAGGCGGGGCGCGCTGTCGAGGAAGCTCTCGAGCCATCGCTCGCTCGCCTGCTTGGCGTCCTCGCGGTCCTCCTGGAGGAAGTAGAAGAAGCGCAGGGCCTTGGCCGCCTGGACGGGGCGCGCCACCTCCTCCCCGGGCCCCAAGGTGAGCCCCCCGAGGAAGTAGCCCAGGAAGAAGCGCCTTTGGAAGAGCGGGAAGGTGAGGTTGGGCAGCAGCGCCTCGATGCGGCGGGGGTCCCCTTGCAGGAGGTCGAAGAGCGGGTTGGGCTCCCAGCAGCGCCCGCTCCGCCGCGCGCACAGGTCCGCGAAGGCCTTCCCGTCGCGGTTCCGCACCGCCCGCACCGCCGCGTCCAGCGCCAGCAGCTCCGCCAAGGCCTGGCGGGTCAGGAGGGAGCCCTTGGACACGGCCACGAGGGTGGCGTAGGTGCCGGGGCTGCTGAGCCGCTGGCCGGAGAAGCGCTGCGCGTCGTCGGTGGGGAAGTGCTCCTGCACGATGCGGCGCTCCTCCTTGGCCGGCCCGTCCACCGGCGTGAACTGCAGCTCCAGGTCTTTGCTCTCCCGCTCGGGGACCAGGATGAACCCGCTGCCCAGCGCCCCCGCCAGCACCACAGGCATCAGCAGGAAGGCCCACGGGTGCGAGCCCACGCAGCCGCCCAGCGCCCGCAAGGAGCGCGACAGGGGCCGCTCCAGGCAGTCCGTGTGGTACCGCCGCCCCGACATCGCCCCCATAGCTGCCCCCGGGAGCCCCGGGCACCGTTGGCTTGGCTCCCTCCGCCCGTTCTTTCTCGGAAGCTCCAGCCGTCGGGATTCCAACACGGGTGGAATACGAAGGCCAAGCCAACGGCCCTTCCCAGCCATCCGTTCGTTGAAAGCCTACCACTCTGGGCGGCCTGTCATCTCTCACCCGAAATACAAGTAGACCCTGAGACAGGCTTGGGCCAATTTGGGTCCTCCTAGCGTTTTGGACTCCAACTCCCACCATTCCTAACAGCCTCAGGCCCCTTCCTTTTCCCCCTCAGCCGCTTAAGCGGCTGAGGGGGAAAAGGAAGGGGCCTGAGGCTGTTAGGAATGGTGGGAGTTGGAGTCCAAAACGCTAGGAGGACCCAAATTGGCCCAAGCCTGATCTATTTAGGTGTAACATTCAAGGGGAACTATAACTTGCCTCCTCTCACCCAAAACTTGCCAGGATCAAGCTGTACTTCCCTTCCTTGTCCTTTCCAACATAAGGACCACCCCCCTCCCCTTAAAGTCAACCTATCAGAGGTCAAAATGAGCAATATTTCCCATCTATCACACTGTTTCTCAACCTTCCTAATGCCGTGACCCCTTAACACCATTCTTCAGGTTGGGGTGGCCCCCAAACCATAAAATTATTTTCATTGCTTCTGCATAACTGTCACAATTGTAATGTAAATATCCGATACGCAGGATGTATTTTCAAATTTGGCAGAAATATTTATTCATTTATTTACTGTATTTGTATACTGCCTTTCTCAGCAACTCAAGGCGGTTAACAGGGCAAAATTAAATGCTTATAATGTCATAAATACAATTAAAAACAACGTAATAAAAACTAAACAAATCAATAAAATATACATTCATATTGTCTCCTTGTTAAAAATGTCTGCACTCATTGTTTAGTTGTTCCATTTTCCTATGTCAGTTAATCTGAATTTGCAAACGCTTGCTCAAAAAGCAAAAAATACTTTTTTCCCGGAATTTTAAAAGGGAGGGGCTGATCTAATATCTATAGGGAGGGAATTCCACAGCCAAGGGGCCACCACCGAGAAGGGCCTGTCTCTCTTCTCCACCAAACGCACTTGTGATGAAGGTGATAATGAGAGCAGGGTCTCCCCAGACGATCTTAAGGTCCTAGATGGCTCATAAGGGGAGATGCATTCAGACATGTAAGTTGGGCCAGAACTGTTTAGGGCTTTATAGGCTAAAGCCAGCACTTTGAATTGTGCCCAGTAGCAAACTGGCAGCTAGTGGAGCTGGTGCAACAGAAGAGTTGTACGCTCTCTGAGCGCCACTCCTGTTAGCAATCTGACTGCCATTCGTTGGACCATTTCAAGCTTCCAGTCACTCTTCAAAGACAACCCCACGTATAGCGCATTGCAGTAGTCTATACCCAATACGCCCAAATTTGAATACTGGTGGAGTTGGGTGGGGGATTTATTTTATCATTTGGCAGTTGTAGTTGCAATCAAAGAGCATTCTGAATTTCACCAACAATGGAATTGAATCAAACCTGGTACACATAACTCCCATGACTCACAGAAAATACTGATATGCAGGATATATATTTTCATTATTACAAATTGAATATAATTAAAGCGTAGTGATTAATCACAAAAACAATATGTTTGGGGGAGTATGGACAATGGATGATGGGATTTCAACCACTTCAGCTCTGACTTCCACAGACCCCCACGGATGATAGATCTGGACCAAACTTGGCACACAGAACTCCAAGTTTGGGAGGAATTGACAGTGCTTCAGGGGAAAAACACTGATGGATCTGGACCAAACTTGGCACAAATACTCAATATGCCCAAATATGAACACTGGTGGCGTTTGCGGTGGAGTTCAAAGAGCCTACTGAACTCCACCAATGATGGAATTGAACCAATCTTGCCACACACAACTCCCATGACCAACAGAAAATACCAGAAGGGTTTGGTGGCATTGAGCTGGAATTTAGGAGTTGTAGTTCACCTCCATCCAGAGAGCACTGTGGACTCAAACAATGATGGCTCTGGACCAAACTTGGCACACAGACCCAATGTGGCCAACTTTAAATACTTGCAGGGTTTGGGGAGGATTGCCCCATGATTTTATGAGTTGAAGTTCACCCACAGGCATGTAGGTGGGGCGGGGCTTGAGGGGCTTCAGCCCCCCCCCTGAAATTCTCATGGTGGTTCGCAAAAAGGCCTTACTGGCACATTATTTAAACTGTTATGTTTATTCATATCATGATCTGATCACCATGCTCAATATATCCCATATGCATGGGGGTATTGGGGTAACGATACAAAAGGTTTGCTAGGGTAGACCCTCTTTCACTCAGACTCAGCCCCCCCCCCCCGAAACAAACTCAGCCCCCCTGAATTGAAATCCTGGCTATGGGCCTATGCATTTTCTAATGAGAGCATTAATAAATTACATAAGTTGCTTCTGCTGCTCCTTCTTATGATACTGACAGGCCACTCTCAGTCCCACATTGTGCAGGCACTTTCCTCCCTGCCTTGAAGGAACTTCTGATCCTCCCTCCAGCCTCACACACTCTCCCTTGCGCTGTGCACCACTCTGCCATGTGCTGAGCATGCCTACTATCCCCTCCCCACTTGGAGTCTCAGAAACAGCTCTCCCCTTGGCTGAGAGGGAGGCCAATCACAGCAGAGGAAGGCTTTTGGTGGGCGGATTCACTACTGTCTGTTTCCAAAAAGGAAGAGAAGGACAGACATCTTCAGCCTTCTTTGCCAAAGGGGTTCCTAAGACCATCAGAAATATGTGCTTTCTGATTGTCTTTGGTGACCCCTCTGAAACCCCCTCATGACCTCTCACTGTAGTGTAATGCTCCTATGTACTTTCAAGTCCTCTCCAACCTATTATCAATGGGGGGGGGGGGGCGTTCTTGGTGAGATTTTCTCAGAAGAGGTTTGCCTCTACCTTCCTCTGAGGTTGAGAGAATATGATGCCCAAAGTCACCCAGTAGGTTTCTATGGCTGAGCAGGGATTGGGTTCCTGGTCTCCAGAGTCTCATCACCCAACATTCAAAGCACATTCAAAGCATGATACTACCTTGACTGCCTTGGAAATGACAGTTTAGTGGCCAGTGGAGTGCAGGAATAATGGCAAGGCAGAAACTGGACACAGAATGGGATCTCCAGAAAACACCTGGGAAGGTGCCTTCCTCGTCCGACAGATTCCATCAACAGAATCATGGCAATTAAAACAGGCTCATAGTACTATAACTGTGTAATATGAAAGGGTCCTTTGTCAATTTACCTGTCCGAATGCATCTCCCTTTACGAACAACCATGAAGACTAAGATTTCACGACCTCTGAGGATGCTTGCCACAGATGCAACAACCGAGTGATTCTGGCCATGAAAGCCTTTGACAATAGACAATCTTCTGGAGAGGCCCTGCTCTCGGTCCCACCACCGTCACAGGCAAGTTTGGCAGGGATGAGAGACAGGGCCTTCTCAGTGATTGCCCCAGCTATGGAACTCCCTTCCTAGCAATATTAAATCAGCCCCCTCCCTCCTATCCTTCAGAAGGATGGTGAAGACCTGGCTGTGGGACCAAGCCATTGAGGCAGTGCAATGAGGCAATAATAGAATGGTGTCCTGGGATGGTTTTTAAGCAACTGATTTTAAAGTCAATATAAGTGATTTTAATGTTTGTGTATATTTAAGGTTTTATGTCCCGGCACTGAATGTTTGCTGTATATATGTTGTGCTCTGCCCTGAGTTCCTTGCATGGTGAGAAGGGTGGAATATAAATGTTTCAAATAAATAAATAAATAAAAATTTCCAGTTTTTCTGATGTAGGTTATATACTTGGTAGAGATTCCAGGGGCTGCCTAGCCCCACTCCATCCTGCTATGCAGAAATGCACAGTCAAAGCACTAATCACAGATGGCCACCCAGCATCTGTTTAAAGACATCCAGATGTTAATTTTGATTAACACACTGGAGCAGACTGTTTTGGACACATCCATTAACTAATACGAAACGAGAAAACTATTACCCAATGAAAGAAAAACGTATGTTTCCCCTCTCAAGGATTCAGGGGCAAAAGCTGAAAATTGATAAAATTGAAAAGGATATTGTAATAAAAAGTATGTGACAAAATGCAACTCTTTCTGTTTGAACAGTGAAGTCAAATAGGCCAGATGTTAGGAAAAAGGGGAAGAAAGAAGATTATCTTTCACAATAATACGAGGGTTGAATGAAAAGTAATGCCTCCACCTTCATAACTCCTCAACAGATGGCAGTACTGGTATATGGCAGGTACTGGCTTGTTCAGTAGACTCTCTTCTACACTTCCATTTTGGCAGGAAGCCTTGGCATTGAATGGTTGTGTTGTTAAAGTGTGAAGTATGGAACCCTGTGCAGACGGTCAGTCTGCACTTAAGCAATGTTCTGTCATTGAATTCTTGACAGCAGAAGGTGTCGCCCCAAAGGGGATTCATCAGAGAATGCAAGCTGTTTATGGTGATTGTGTTGATATGAGTACTGTGCGTCACTGGGCAAGTAAGTTTAAAGAAGTTGAGGTGGGAATATATGACTTGCGTGACAAACAAAGAGTTGGATGTCCTGTGACAAAAACCACCAAGTTTCACAAGCAAAGGGTTGACAGATTGATTCAGGACGATCATCGTATCACTCAGAGGGAAATTTCAAGCATAATTTGCATTTTTAATGCACTGGCGAAAATCTCTGTTTTTCTAATAGATCAGAGTTAACAGGCTATTCAGTCTAACAACTGAAACCATTGCCTTGCATAATTATATCTTCTATTATGAAGGGTCTTTTTGGCTCTTTTCTGAAAGGTCATGCTTTCCTAAAAAGTTATGATCTCCAAAATGTAATTTTTCAAAAGGATATGAATGCAATTTTCTAAAATTTTGAGGACTACAATTCTGAGGACCAAAGTTTGAATCCCAGGTTAACCATGGAAAGCCAGTGGATCATTTCAGCAAATATAATT